CGGCCGCCTGCGGTAGGTGCGGGCCGGGGCGGCAGGGGGACGGGGAAAGCGCGACCGGGCCGCGCCACTAACACACGCCTCTTCCCCGCAGGATCGCGGAGGTGGAGCCGGGGGGCGGCCGGAGGGGGGGGGGGCGCGGGGGGTCCATGTAGCAGCGCTGAGCGGCCGGGCCGTGGAGGAGCGGGGCTGCTGGACAGCAGGTGCCGGGACAGCCGGGCTCTCCGAGGACACTAAGTGTAATGGACAGGGTGCGATGGTTAATAAAAGGTAGACAGCGGTGGCGGTGTGAGGCTCTGGCTTTGTCCTGCCAACCCCTGGCCTTCCCCCAGGGCAGCAGGACCTTGGTCCAGGCCATTGTACTGGACCCGGCGCAAGGGGAACAGCCCCGACCTGCTCTAGGGTGCTGCGGAGACACGGAGGCAGCCAGCTGAACGGCAGCTCTGTTATTCAGACGGTTGCATGGTTTAAATACATTACATACATTTCTACAGTGCATTAGAACAATACGTTTTGGGTCAGTCGGAGATGCAGCTGGGCCTGGCCGGGGAGCTGGGGTCGCACTGCTGCCCACCCTGTGCTTGCACAGCCAGTGCTGAGCTCCTTCCCCATGCAGGAGACAAGGGAGCTGCTCTCCCCTCCCAGGCTCAAGCCACAGAGCCCCAACCCATCTTCATTCACCCCACCCCCCAAAGATGGGCTAACAGGACAGCGAGACCCAACACCAGCTTCCCCCAGCAGCAGGAGAAGCCGCAGCTCAAGGCAAGCGGATGCAGGCAGCAGCCCTGGTACCGTTTTATACAACACAAGCTGAGCAGCTTTGGGGGAGAGAGCGGGCTCGCTGCCTTACCCACCCACAGCAGGCTCGTGAGATTGTCAGCACCAGGGCAGCCAGGAGCCCATGCTGGCCCCCCCGTGCTCCCATCACGCCTCCCACCCATGCAGCAGAAGAGACCCTCCGGCCCTTCCCCGGCAGCCCCCTGCCCCTCGAGGGGGCTCTAGGCACAGACAAGGCTGGCACCATGCTGGCTGCACAGCAGCCAGGGAGCTTGCCGGGAGCAGGGGCAAAAGCCAAGCAACAGCAGCTGTGGAGACCTGGCAGGAGGGATGGACTGGGGCAGCAGGGAGAGGGTGCTTGCACTCACCCTCGGCCCTCTCCAGCTGAGGGGGGGGGGGCACTAAGCTACAGCCCCTCCCAGAGCTGGCTGCCATTCACAAGGACAAGCCAGCACCTCTTTCCCCTTAGTGTCTAACTGCACCCAAGCCAGCCCTGTGAGTTGTCCCTCATATGTCCCCTCCTTGAGCCCCCAGCCAGAGAACAGCCGTTCATTGTGGTCCCCGCTGCGCCAGCGGGCAGCAGGAACTCCCCCTGAGGAAAGCAGCGTGCACAGGATTGAGGCAGAGGAGGGACAGTGGAGGAGTACAGCACACCCTCGGGGAAAGGGAGGGGGTATAACCCGCTACAGGCCTTCCCAGCCTGACAGCAGGCACAGCGGGGAAGAAAAGGGCCAGTGGCTGGTGTAAAGGGCTGGACGGATCCTGGCCCAGGCAGCCTGCTCATCCCAGCCCCAAGCAGGGGTGCTCAGAACCGCATGCAGGCCGAGGGAGGCAGGCAGGGGCAGGGTTCCAGCCACACCACGGCTCCCAGCGGATTCCCACACCTCCCCCTGGGCCCTGCCCCAGGCAGGGCACCGAGCTCCGACAGAGCTAGGGAGGGACCGTGCCCGACCTGCCTGGCTCCTCTAGTTCAGCTGCAGGTTCCTCCAGCCACACCTGCTCACTCTACCCAGAAGGTCAAGTCCCGGCCACAGGAGCCAGCAGTGGCCCGGCTCCTCTCGCAGTGCTAGTCCGAGGCGGCCAAGCCCTGCCCACGGCTCCCACAGCTACCACCATGAGAAGAAAGGCTTCCGGCTCTGGAAGCTCTGCGTGTAGGACTCGCTGGAGGTGCGCTGGTGGGAACGCGCCGTTTCCACAATCACAGGCGGCATCTGAACCAGGTGTAGGGGGCTCTTCCCGTCTTTCAGCGCCTGAGTCAGGTTCAGGATCTGTATGGCACAACAGAGCAATGCCTGAGCTGCCCTGCCGGAGCAACAGAGAGCATCCGCCCCAGCACCCTTCCTGCCACACAGGCAGGACGAGGCTCTGCACCTCACCCACCTGCCTTCCCTACACATAGCTTACCTGGCCTCTCATGACAGCTATCTGCTTGTGAAACTGTCCCCTGTCAAAGCCAGGGTCTTTCTGCAGGAGAGAGAGCAGAGAACACAGTGGGATCCACCCGCTGCCCCACGCCGTGCAAGAGATGCCTATTCCCCAAGCCAGCCTCTCTCCTCCTGTCCCACGGGTTTCCTGCTTCTCCCCACGCTGAATCTTCAGCTCCTGGCAGAGGGATAACCCTGCTTTGCCTCAGCCCAGAAACACTGTCAGGAGCTTGGCCACCTTTCTGTCCCCTGCAGCCTTGACAGGGAGCTGCCCAACACCATCTCCGCTTTTCTTCCTCCCAAGCCATCCTCACCCGCTCCCCCAGCTCACCTTGAAGAGCTCATACAGATCTTCCTCCAGGTCCTTGACAAAGTTGGGGTCCGAGATCTTGGGAAGAATTAGGTCCTTGATCTCCTGTGAAAAGGGGATTTTGGCCTGGGGCAGCCATGCCCAGTAGAATGGATCTGTGGGAGGAAGCAGGAGACATTAGAGCTGGGGAGGGCAAAGGATGGTGCAACATGCCCCTGGGTGCCAGATCACCTGTGTCTGGGACACAGGGTCCAGCACCCACTCCCTACAGCCTCTGCTGAGGTGGAGCTGCCCATGAACCCAGAAGGTTTGCAGAGGGACAGCCCTAGCCCTCTCCTCTCCGGCCCTTGAGGAGGATGCTGGAGCGTGGAGTTATATGGCTCACCAGGGTGCCCTGGCACAGCCTGAGGGACTCACATGCTCTCCAGGAGTCCGGGTGTTTCAAGGGAAAGGCCAAACCATTGTCTATAGCAGCCAGCTTGATGATGGGCTCCTTCACCACCACCCAGTCACTGTCCTGGAAGGAAGCGGAGCATGTCGCAAGGAGGACCCCCCAGCAGGAACAGTCCCTCTCCCACTCCCTGCAGCCCCGCTGCCAGGATCTTTGCCCTGGCTACCACAGAGGGACAGCAGCCTCTCACCCGTAGCGTGGCCCCTTGCCCGCAGTGAAACACTGTCTGCTTCGGGTGGGAGGGGGACAAAGCTGTTCCCTCCCCCAGGCCTCACCCCAAGGATGCACAGGTCCAGCAACGCCAGTTTCGCCCACAGAGCCCAGCTGCATCCTCACAAAGTCCCACTAGGCCACAAACCACCGACACAGAGGGCAACGAAAGGCCCAGGAGACAAGATCAGGCCTCCGCACACTTGGAAACCCAAGCCAGCTGGGAAATCCCCGGCCCGCCTGCCAGGCAGGCAGCTTGCAGGAGCAGAGCCCCCCGTGGAGCCCCTGCCCGGGAAGAGCCGCTCACCCGCACGCCCGCGCTGTCCAGGGGACAGTCGTACTTGATGAGCCAGTTGTCATTGCCCCGGTCTGCAGGGAGATAAAACCAGCTGTGTCAGCACCAGGGCCTGCCTGCACCACACCGGGCAGAAGATTACTCCTCCTCTGACCCAGAAGGGAGACAGACCAGTCTTAGGCCCAAACTCTACCCCAGAGCCCTCGAGGTTGCTGCAGGCCTGGGAAGCCACATCAACCCCCCCACAACCAGCCCTGGAGACTGGAGAGGTGCACATATCCCCAGCTCGCAAGAGAAAGGTCAGCCTGCAAGGCCCAGAGTGCTACCCCGACCCCTTCCAGCCTGTCAGGAACTCAGAAGCCCAGCATGAGATGGGATATAGGGGCACAGTCAGATGCTGGATCTCCGGATGACCCTGGATCCTCGCAGCTGGCAAACTTTCATCCCAGCACTGTGGTGGATCCAGATCTCCCAGAATGCAGGCCAGCGGCCAGAGCATGGCCACAGTGGTGGGCAGCCACGGCAGCTAAACTCTACCCAG